TTTTTTTTTAACTGATTTTTCCCTTTTTCGCAGCGTTTACGGGGGCTCCGATGCGGTGGGAGAGACGTGAGTGCCCCCCCCATCCTCAATTTAAAAAAATAGCTATTTTAAAATATTTTATTAAGTTTTTAGTATTTCGGGGTTTTTTTTTTAACTGATTTTTCCCTTTTTCGCAGCGTTTACGGGGGCTCCGATGAGCTCTCCGATGACATCACGCAGCAGCAGCTCCTGCCCGGGGTCAAGTGAGTTTCTCCAGGGGGGACACACACAAAAAAGGTGTGGTTTTGGGTGGAAAAAGGAGCGGATTGGGATTATCCGCCCCGTAACGGTGTTTTTCTCTCCCCCCCTTCCACAGGGACCCCAATCTCTGGACCGTGAAGTGCAAGGTGGGTCCTAAAACCCCTCTTTTTGGCCCCAAATCGGGGAGGAACCTGGAGGGGGGACACAGGGTGACATCACCGGTCCTAAAACCCCTCTTTTTGTCCCCAGAGTGACATCACCAGTCCTAAAACCCCTCATTTTGTCCCCAGATTGGGGAGGAGCACAGAGGGGGGACACAGGTTGATGTCACTGGTCCCAAAATTCCTCTTTTCTGTCCCCAGAGTGACATCGTTTGGGGACACAGGGTGACATCACCGGTCCTAAAACCCCTCTTTTTGTCCCCAGAGTGACATCACCAGTCCTAAAACCCCTCTTTTATCCCCAGAGTGACATCACCAGTCCTAAAACCCTTCTTTTTCTCCCCAGAGTGATGTCACCGGTCCTAAACTTCCTCTTTTTGTCCCCAGAGTGACATCACCAGTCCTAAAACCCCTCTTTTTCTCCCCAGAGTGACATCACCGGTCCTAAACTCCCTCTTTTTGTCCCCAGAGTGATGTCACTGGTCCTAAACTCCCTTTTTTTGTCCCCAGAGTGATGTCACCGGTCCTAAAACCCCTCTTTTTGTCCCCAGATCGGGGAGGAGCGCAGAGGGGGGGACACAGGGTGACATCCATGATCCCAAAACCCCATTTTTTGTCCCCAGATCGGGGAGGAGCGCAGAGGGGGGCACACAGGGTGACATCCATGATCCCAAAACCCCATTTTTTCTCCCCAGATCGGGGAGGAGCGCAGGGGGGGTGACACAGGGTGACATCCATGATCCCAAAACCCCATTTTTTCTCCCCAGATCGGGGAGGAGCGCAGGGGGGGTGACACAGGGTGACATCCATGATCCCAAAACCCCATTTTTTCTCCCCAGATCGGGGAGGAGCGCAGGGGGGGGGACACAGGGTGACATCCATGATCCCAAAACCCCATTTTTTGTCCCCAGATCGGGGAGGAGCGCAGAGGGGGGCACACAGGGTGACATCCATGATCCCAAAACCCCATTTTTTCTCCCCAGATCGGGGAGGAGCGCGCCACGGCCATCGCCCTCATGCGGAAGTTCATCGCGTACCAGTTCACCGACACGGTGAGGCCCTGGAGAAAAGGGTGGGGGGTGTCTGGGCCGTGGTGACCCCCAACCTCCCCATGGGGGTCCTCGAGATGTCCCCAACCTCTCCCTTGTGTGTGTGTCCCTCCTCCAGCCCCTCCAGATCAAGTCGGTGGTGGCCCCCGAGCACGTGAAGGGGTACATCTACGTGGAGGCCTACAAGCAGACCCACGTCAAGCAGGCCATCGAGGGGGTGGGCAACCTGCGGATGGGCTACTGGAACCAGCAGATGGTGCCCATCAAGGAGATGACCGACGTCCTCAAGGTGGTCAAGGAGGTCACCAACCTCAAGCCCAAGTCTTGGGTGCGCCTCAAGAGGGGCATCTACAAGGACGACATCGCCCAGGTGAGGAGGAGGAAGAGGAGGAAGGGCCTGGGGGGTGTTGGGATGGGGTTGGGGGGCGCTGAGGGGGTTGTCATG